CTTTCTTTCTTTCTTTCTTTCTTTCTTTCTTTCTTTCTTTCTTTCTTTCTTTCTTTACTTTTCCTTTGGTAGCGGTAACTAAATAACCACACTGATCCAAAAGCCCCATACACCAGAAATACCAAGATTACGCTAGAGCAATAGACGATAAACTAGTCATCTTTCCACGCTACCGTAATTTGTGTGATTTCATTGTCATCATCGTCGCTGGAGACTTCGTCAGATGATAATACGAGTATTGGGAAGGAAGACGACCCATGAAGGATAGAGCCAGTGGATTTGTACTCCTGCAGCGCTGAAATCCATGGGTGAAAACTTTCAAGGGTCTTTTCAGTCCTCCAATATCTGGAATGGTCTATTGGACGATTGATGTAGTCCAAATACTCTGCTGGATCGTGGCTAGGGCACAGGGGCATGGTGCTATAATAGGTGCCCTCGTAAGACATTCGTTCCACCAAACGTGCTGCATCAGCAGCTTCATATGAGCCGTCAACGATATAAAGGCATCGGCAAGGAATGCTAGGGCTTTGTCGTTCGCTATCGACTAGTACGGTGCCGTTGGAGTGGAGAGATAGCTGCTCCAAATGCGGCCATAATTTTGGTCCTTCTGTATATAGACTTTGTTTGCTTTGCATTTGCGAGTAGCGTAAATAGGGGTCTGGAGACAGACGTCGTCCAATAGTGTGTGATTCAATGATCATTGACATTAACTCAAGAACAGAAGCGGAGTCGTCACGTTTGAAACCGAATGAGGGTGGATTGGGCCCTGTACGTTTACGCGAAGTGTTGGAGATGCACTGCATGGATATTGCAGCGGCCAGGCTGTCAATTGCAGATGGACCTTTCAAGAAGTTGAGAAACCTCTCCATTTCGAGGCTGGTGTATAGTGGACACCTATTAAAGACGCCTAACATTCCTTTCCCCCAAAGCTTCTCTACTGCCCTGCTGGAGGTGGCGAGGCAAACAAGCTGTCGTACTGGTTGCCAGTCTGATGCAACGAACATCCGGAAAGCGAATCTGACAAAAAAGAACGAGCTTCTATCCGGCGCGTGGCCGGAAGCAGCCGGTCTGGAAGTCCTTGTCCAAGCTTCCTCGATACGATTCAGCGTATCCGGCACTAAGCGCCACGAGTCTTCCAGAATAGCTGAAATTTTGGTTATTGTCTCCCGATATGCTCCCTCAGAGGCAAACGAAAGCCTAAACGGCTCCACATAGTGTTCCGTTATATACAGAGCCATGAATCTAGACTCGATCACGGAAGCGTCTCTCACAACACCTGCTGCATGAAAGAGATTCAAGAAGTCTCCACTGGATACAACCGACTGTGGTAATGTCTGAGGAAGAAAGTCGACGGGGTCGTCGGAACGACAAGTCAAAACTGTGGAGCATCGCTCACTGATTGATAATATCTCAGGATCAGACTCCGGGATGTATTCTGTGGACAGGCTGCTGAGCTGGGCCAGCAAAGACTGCCGATAGACGTCGCGAGCCCAGTCAAATATGTAGTCAATAATAAGAAGCAGCTGCAGCGAGCCATCCTCGCCCGTTACATCACCACTCCACAGGTTTACGGTCACCTAATTCTATATTAGAGAGTTGTAAGGCGCGATGAAACATCGATGGTGCTTACCCATTCAATAGAGCTGCGCGTGTCTTTGGCAAAGCAACCTGCCACGTTCCACCGCTCCCCAGACCACGATAAAAACCAGACTAATGGCTCGAAAGTGCCACCTCTACCTTCACCAGCGTTTCGTAACTCATGCTGTAGTCTCAATAGACGCCGGATACAAAAGGCCGTTTGCATTTCCACGGCTGCCATGTCCCCGTGCTTACCGGACTTGGCTTCCATTATCAAGAAGGGAAACAATAGCCGCTCACCTTCATCATCGAAAGGGCTCACCTCAATCGTATCCCTGAGCCTTTGGACATTTCCAGCATACGCTGTGTGCTTGCCTATCGAGTTCAATGCCTTCCTCAGGCTACCCGTGTCTCGTAGCCCGTATACCCTATCTGGCTCTTCCGATACTTGGCCTCTTCTCCGGCCTTCAATAGGGAGAGGTGGGTCATGTTTAATGGCTGCTTGGGTGCGGTCTGAGAATATCATGTTCACCCCGTCCTCGTATCCGCTACATTTAGGTTAGCTAGTTACAGATCTCTGCCGTCCATATACTCTCAATATCGATAGCAATGTGTAGCTCAGCCCACCTGTTGTAGCCCCACTGGTCAACACACCGGCATGGCGCACGGCGCCTACGCCTAGCTTCCAATGACTGAGCAAATGGCTGCGAGGACAGTACCGCGGCTTCGATCTCCGATTTCCAGAGCCTACTACGACATCTGGGACTGAATGACTCACGCGTATGTCAGCACGGTTGTAGGATGCCCCTGGAAGTCTACCCCACCCTGACTTACCAGGTTACTTCAACCGTAAATCTATGGAGGACCTCTGGTTCAATCGAGAATCTCCACCCGGCTTCATTCTTCCTATCCTCTCTGGAAATCAGACTCCGCTGGACTAGGCGTGCCGCCCTCTGCTTCGTTTGACGTCTCCAGGGTTTGTCTATCGAGTCAACTGAGACGGTTTCACTGAAGCTCGAATATTTCTGATTCCCGAGCTTCTGAATATCTGCGAAAAGCCTGCGGTGGGCATCAGGCCACTGCCTGGGTGGGGCGGGGCCAAGGAATCGAATGTTAAGCTCTTTGGTGTAATCCCATCGAGCCCTATATTCTGCTTGGTCCATTTTGCAATTTCGATATTCCCAGCAGCAGGCTGGCCTAAGTAACTGGAACAGTTCCAATTTTAAGGGAGAAAATCTTCATTGGAGCCACGAGTTGTGATGCCGCAGTCTTTGCAGCAGGTGATGCATCTTACTGTCCACGATCAACTAAATGCATGGTGAGCTGGATAGCATGGACTGAATCTGACCTGTAATAATTCTAAAGGAAAATAAGTCCTTGCCCGTTGAAATTTCGCATGACCCCAACAAACTAAATTGCGAGCCACGCCGCTTTTCCGTATATGGGGTTCAAGATAAGGAGCACTGTAGGCAGAAAAGTCGCAGAGTGGAGGGAAACGTCGCCCATATACGTCAGCACTCCAGGTATGCGGGGAATTCGGGTACGGAATAGAGAGGGGTTTTCTCAGTTTAGACTGTAGAGGGGTAAATATGGAAGAAAAAATAAACCCGACGAATAGATAAACAAAAAATGAAACATACAACAGGAGGGATTCGCTGGTGGTCACCCACCCAACTACTAACCTCCCGGCGTGTGGCTAAAACACAGTAAGTAGTGCGGTGAGTGCCGCCCGGGTAAGAATAGGGTGAGCGCCGCTTTAGCGTCGCGCGACTCGGGTGATTAGGGTGAGTGCGCAATAGACAGGGTGAGAACAGGGTGAGACCGTGTTATGCAAGAATCACGCTTTGGCCCTCCATGCTGAAGTGAAGCATACTTTATTGGCTGGTCTACCACTCTCTGAAGCACTTGGCACCTGCACATAGCCACCTCCTATGCCCCAAGGAAGAATGAGTGTCCGTTTTATATCGATACCTTCAGGCCAGCAATTGGATTATTCAAATGACATAGGGTTGGTCTACATCATGATTATTCCAAACCCCTTAAAAGGTAAACAATTAAGGGACAAGTACAGTATTTCTGGAAATCGGTGTCACCCCCTGCACTCTTTCATTGTTCCTTAGACCCTAAATACCAAGACACATTAAACTACTTTCGGAGTAACTATGTCAGCCTCATTTGTTTTTAGAATATTTTAGTAATATACCGTAAATTACCAGATTATCATATTAGCAAAAAACACGTTTATTACCTATAAGGCCAAAAACAGTCACCTAAGTACCCTACGTTAACTCTCCTAATCCTCACACTAAGCGATACAACGAACTATAGCTCCTAAACTAGCAAGGTTTAGCGCCTAGTGGTTACAGTGGGAGGTAATAAGTTTTTGGCACACCTATTTCGGGATTAGTGGCCTTGTCAGAGACCGCCTACTAAATTAGATCTATTCTGCCGGCAGAAACCTCTTGAATTCAGCTATCTAGTATTTAGTATATCAGCCACGGCCCACGGGCCTCAGTTACAGCCTTTACACGATGAGGCATAGTTTGGGACAGGCGTACAAGAATCCGCTGTTCTATAGCCTGCCAGGCCTCCTTAGCTGTCTGTATAAAAAGCTGGCGTGTTGCTTCAGTATCATCAGCGTGTGCTAGCTCAGGATAAAGCTTATATATCTCTTCTTTCATTAAAGGCTTAAAGCCCAGCCTTCGTCTTATACTAGTTAAAAATAATCTAACTTACTATAGATATAGAGCTTAAAGAGTTTTTATACTAGACCTAATTAGGTTTAGTCTAGGCTTGGCGGGGAACCCGCGGGTCGGGGAGGCCTAAACCTAGCGGGTTTTGGGTCGGGTGCGGGGACACCTATCAAAAACCCGACCCGCGTGCAACTCTAATAAATACCTATAAATAGATTTTAAAGCTAGACGAGTATTAGTCTTAGAGAAATTAGCCTCGTGGTTTACTATAAGTTAAAGGTAAACTAGATATTGATAAATTAACTTTAATTTGTCTTCTTATATAATAGACAAAAAGAATTATAAGATAGTGTTTATAGTATTATTTGACTCGATTTTTTCTTTACCGCCTAAGGTATAGAGATATAATATATATCGCTTAGAATACTTAGATTATTATTAAACTAGATTTTCGACTGTAATATAACTATACGCTCTTATATATATAAGATCTATAAATAACAATATAGATAGTTCAGAGGAGAAGGCGACTTTCATAGATTTGATCGGTCGACGCTGTGGCGATTCGGAGGTATCAGCTGCTGCAAGCTAAAGAAAGCAAGAGAAAAAAAGGGTCAGAAGTTGTCTCATTCCTCTAAAACTATTGTTTCTCCGCTGAACAAAAGATATGGAAGGATCGCAGGAGGACCGAAAAGGAAGGAGCGTGTGTCTGTCTGCTACATCAGCATGATCGGCATGAGGGATATGATGCCAATGCAACTTCAAAAGCTAATACATTGGCAAACATCCTAGACCGGGGCTTGACCACCTCGTCTTTTTTACACAAGGGTCCCGCAGCTCCGCTGAAAGGGTTTTCGTGCGAAGAATAGAACATATCATCAATTCCATGTTGACCGATCGCGTGAAGCGCGTCTGTCTTCATGAGGTTGTGGGTTTGAAGATATTTCGTCGGTCACAGGTAAGTCGGCACTGATCTGCCATTTTCCAAGAATGCTGCATCCTGTTCGAGAACGAAGGGGAGGCATCCTCCTGATAATCCATTCACCTGCACGCATGTTGTTCGCGGTATTCTACGGCAGCTGGCTTAGTTCGTTATTCCTCACTGAGACTTTCAGAGACCGAGAAATTAAGAAGAGAAAAACAATCGAAAGGAAAGGAAAAGTAAATGTGGGCGTCGAAGAAGTGAATTCTTTGGGATTACACGCCCGGCGATTCGAACGTATGAATGCTGGATACATATTATATTCTTCTAGGATTTTTAATGTCGTCATGGTCATTCAAATTGCTGCTACGAAAGCTGTTGCTCTTGAAGCATGATCAAACTGGCCGGCTGCCTGCTAAGGCTGTGTTTGGCAAGGAAACAAAATTTCCACAAGCAACATGGGACACAAGTTTCAGCTCGTGTTGCTCTTTATCGACGGTGTAGCCGCGCCTTTACTAGGTCAAGCTTAAACCGGCGGACGAGGATCCAATTCTAACGAATAGTTCAAGTTAGAATCCCATCACATGGAAGATAAAGCTGACTTACCAATAGCCATAACGGAAGGAAGTTAAGAAGATAAATCAATTTGGTCAAAGCGCCTTCCCAGATCTCCACGCTGACCCGTGGCCGCATAAGTTTCGCGACTACGGACGTAGCATAAGCATGCGGGGACATGCCGTTTTTATTGCCTTGGTACTTTATATCCTCAACAATGCGTTTTATCGGAAGATAGAGCGATGAACCTGGGGCTTGAAGCCCGTGGTGAAGGATGTTACTTTGTACAAAGCCCGTGACAATCTCGATCACCTCTATCCCCAGCGGCATCATCTCCTAAGGCTTGATTAGAGTGAACTCTCCGCGGGTCAACTGGGTCCTATATTCTGTAGGTATAGTTATCTTACCAGGCGGAGGGTCTTTGAATACTGGCTTAGAGCAGCCTTGGAAGCGTTATAAGGCCCTTGCCATACGATTGGCAGCTCGCGCGTTACACTGCCGATCTGCACAATGCGCGCGCGGTCTGATCGACGGAGTAAGGGCACGAAGACCTGACAGAGGCGCATAACAGCAAAGACGTTAACTTGGAACAGGTGGACCACCTCCTCGATGTCCAGGTCTAAGGAGGTGGATGCGTAGTGCGTTCCGGCGTTATTAACCAGGAAATCAAGCCGGCCACCCGTGTGTTCAGATACCGCCTCTTTTAATTCGTTAATACTGTCTGGATTGGAGGCCTCAAGGGAAAAGGACTCGATGTTGTCGTATTGGCTGGTTAGGTCGCTGAGGGATTCAGCGCTTCGTGCTGTAGCGAGCACAGTAACACCCTTGGCTGCGAATGCGATTGCAAGGTCTCTCCCGATCCCACTGCTGCAGCCTGTGATAAGTGCAAACATCGGTGGCTGTGCCATGGAATGGAATCTGGGATGGCGGAAGTGTTGCGTTGATGGTCCTGCCAGAATTGGTCGCCCGCTATGAACGGCTGAACGGCTTTATGAGAGTGTTCTGTGGAGTCACTATTTTTGGGGGGTGGGGGGAGGCCTTTTATAGCCAGTACTGTCCCGACAGCCACACCGGTGACTAGCGACTTCCCAGATCTTTCAGTGGAAACAAATTGTTTTTTTCACTTTTCACACCTGAGTGGTCAAGATTATCCCCATTCTTGCACGGCCTTTTGAGGATCGTCAGGTGTACTGCTCGCACCATGATCAATAACAGTCCATTTGACTTTAATGGCTTCTCATCCAGGTTAGTGAGTACTCACAATAATTTGATCTCCTCAAGATTACCTTCTGCTGCTTTGTATCACAAGTACCCCGATTGTCTTCTGCGCAGCAATAAATGCCTCCCTAATTCGATTGGTGGTATTGATCTTCCTCTCATTGTGGCTATTTCCTCTTTCATGTATGAAATCATTTTGTTACTGGTTTTTTATTCCAGCTGATATAATTTCGCTGATTACGGGCCGTCGAAGGCGTGTGAGGGCGATCAAATCCAATATTCAGACCGGAGTGGATATGTCCTAATATGATTCGTGCCGTCAACGTGTCAATTGGATGCTGTTTCAAGAGTGAGTTCCAGTGATAATAATGCCAAATAAACCATACAAAAGGATATTTTGCCGTCTGAACTTGCCCAGCGCTAATTGTACGGTCCTTGCAATGATGCCTCGACGGCTAGACTACCGAGGGTCAGCACGCTCTCACGTTGGTACCGTGCCAGTATCTAGTCCTTAACATAGCTCGGTAACTTGATATTGTGCACAATTCAATCAATTGGTCGAAGGCCATCCGGTATATTTGAATGTAGATGCTATCGTGTCACTTACGTCTCGGATACGGTGACCTAGTATTATCGGCTATTGCATGGCTTATGGGGGGCGGTGGCGAAGGCTGAAAGTACGTTATCAAGCCCCAATGTATGCATTCATAGTAAAGAGTGTGATGCTGGGTTCCCTTGCCGGAAGCTGAACTCCCTTTGAGTCTCCTAATCAACTACGACTCTTTCGACACAGTGTCGTTCCGCTTTGTATTCATTCAGCTCGTATCCACCACTACGCGATGAAAAGGCAGTAAATCCCTCAGCAGCCAGTGTGTCAAATACGATGGCTCCGCTCCCATCCGGATCTGCACTATGTAGGTGAAGAGACTCGCTGGACTGTACAAGTGGCCTTGGTGGTCCGCCGGCATTGCAGTGGAAGAAAAGTATCCGTCGGGGGTTTTCCCATGCCGGGTCCACTTGAAACTTCACCAATGCGGAGGGCGGTCATTTTTGGTGTATAAAACCAGCCGTTAGCGGATCGACAAACTTCGCTCACATGAAGGGGAAAGATCCACCAGATCAGAGTACTCAGCCCACCCTAGGAAGATTCTTAGTATACACTCTAAAAAAGCACTAATGTTGCGAGTGTCAAAAATGGATAGGCTCCCAAAACCCAATTTCATAACTGCCTGCTCCTCTATGGTTCAGCTTCCCACGTTCTGCAGCAATGACTACCGTGCAAAATATTCATAACACTACCTGATCAACTACTTTGAGGGCGGCTAAGTCAGGCAGAGGAAGGAATCGCCATAGCCAATGAATCCTTCAACGGCGTAGCGACTCATATTGTCGATCGTCCCGCTAGGGGACTTCCTCTCGCTGGCAATCAATGCTTTTACGGAATATCTCTCATGCTGAGATCCTTCGCTTTGAGATAGTGAGAGCTGGTCCTCATATCGACGCAAAAAAATGAGTTCCACTCAGTTTTGAAGGGGGGTATCTGTTTAAGAACGAGTGTGCCAGTCCAAAAAGATCTATGGATCGCAGGCAGCCACATTGCAAACCTTTTCTATCTATGCACTTCCCCCTAGTCCGACATCCCTACTATAGAGCAAGCAAATCAGCACATATGGTTGCACCCATGTTATAACTCCAGATATAGTACAGAATTCACTCATCAAGGTATGGTCTTCAATAAATTGAAACTAATTATCACACCACACGGCCGCAAACTAACCACGAGCCAAGACCCCAAGCTTGCATCAAGTCTAAACGAGGTCTTACGATATAGGCTAGACCGCTTGAAACAAAAGCTGTATTATCATGTGATTCTTGTGGAGACATGTAACGCTTCTTTATTGTACCGTCAACAATGGCATCTGCTAATCATGCAGGAGACCAGAATCTCAGGAGCTCGCACCAAAACAATCCCTCCATAGGCAGAAGGCAATGGGAGCCAGAGACCGTTACCACGAACGACTTCCTAACACCGACCGTGGCTTGGTTGATGGCAGTTATTATATTAATGGTGGCTGTCGTGCTATTTAAAGCGCGGTTGATCTCTGGGCTATGTAGTGGCAATCGATATACATAACATGTTGGTCTTGCTACATCTTGCTCCTGTATATGGTTTGGAGACAGAAATATTTCGAAGCGCTTTTTCTCTACAATAAAAGTTTATTTGTTATCCTTTATGGTCAGAGAATGTGATTATATAAGCTTTACCTATGAATAACCTCCAGGAAATGACCTCAATCTCTGGTTTTTTTAACCACCATGACCAGTATGTCACGTTCTGTGGTTTCCCTGGCTAGCAGCATTGGATGTGCAAGTGCTTAAGTTTGAACGGAAGATAATAAGACAGGTGGATTCTATCCGTAAGAAACGGCTCCAATGAATCTCACGCATAAAGAGAAGCAGTACCCAAATACTGGTACTGCATGCCCTCTGCTCCCCCAGATCCCTATGATTATTTCTTCAGTCATTTTGGAGGTATAAGGGGGTTCTGGAATCTGGAGTTCGGGTTCTGTTATTAAAGGGTAAAGCATAATACCTGTCCTCAACTAAAATGCCAGGTTTCTATCAAGTTTCTAATCGGTTGAAGCCCCTTTTGTTGGGGATATCTTCGAAGTTGAGGGCAAAGTTTCTGTGGTTTTGATAGGGTGGTTGGCGCTGACTAATACGTGGATACCGAATAGGCAAGTACCTACCAACCACACATATAGCAGTAACCCACTTTCGACCGCGTTCCCGAGGAGGCTCATCACACTGCTTGAATCCTCCATCACATTTCTTTTTTTCCCTTCCAAAGAAGGAGTTCGTCAACTGACTGAAGACATCATGACATCACCAAGGTCATCGAAGGATCTCCGCAGCTGTGATCGATGTTTTATCATGGTATTTAGCCTGACCCATTGTGATACATTGCTTCTAAGCTGCCGGCAGAAAACGCAGTGTGATCTAGCCGAAGTATGCGGCCGATGTAAGCGTCTTGGGCTAGAATGTACGAATATTCGACCTGTCAAATCCAAGGGCCGACCACGAAAGTCACAGCGCCCGAACCAGCCGCAAGGAGATACCCAGCCACCCACCCGAGGGCGTACACCAGAACGTGTGTCGCCCTATCCACCTGACATGATCATTCAGGCTGTTTTAACCGGTTTGAACCAACATGTCGATCCCCTGCTGGCTGGGCCTCTATTACAACACATTCGGACTTTAAGACCTGGTCATGGCCTCTGTGCTGTTATGCTAGCGGAGCCACATTCGGCTGTTGACAACGGCCTTGACATTCACAACCCAGCTCTATATTGCAGTATCATTTCTATCGTGCTGGAACTCTGGCAACGGAGGGTCCACCAGCCTGACGAGCAGTCACTTCAACAGAAAAGGGATTTAATTCGAGAAGAAGCATTGTCGCGGATTCCGCATATCTTTTCACGCTCTGAGCCATCTGTATCTGACGCTCTATCCTTGCTCTTACTCAGCCATACGTGGTGCCTTACCAGTCAGCATATCGATGCTGCAGCTCAATGGACTGCTCTCGCGCACTTCATCATAAATAATAGTATCAAGGGGCGAGATCTACTATCCTATGCTCCTCGTGAAGTGGACAAACGGTTCGTTATTCTGCGATAAACATGATGTTGCAATGACGTCAACAATTACTTATGGCGCATGTAGCGTATCCTTCGGCTGCACTCTCCAGGAAAGGTTGGCAAGATTATATTCTTGAGGCAGGATTTGCAAGCGTTGTCGAGTGCAGCTAACTCTACTGTCCATTTTAGCACGCTCAACCTGCTTCACTACAGTGCCATCAATCATGGCGAACAAAAAGTGGCGACAGACCATCTATACCACATATTCAATGTGTCGCCGGTATCGGAATGCAACTCTGCTTCTGCTTCCCAACGGTTCCCAGCAGAGTACTTGGCACTATTCATCCCATTGATCAGGTTTGTCTGTCCTCACCTGGCCTCGTGCTAAGTATCGGAACTGTATGCGTAGCTGATATGTACAAGAATATGCAGTCTCGTTCTCACAGAGCCCCCTTCGGGAAGCCGCGATTGGCTCAACGCATACGATGATATCGAGGCTTTCTACATTGCATTTCCTATCTCATTACTTAGGTTCGACAATCTTCGGTTCCTGTACCAGGCAGAGGCAATGGTTTGGATGCATGGACTTTTGATAATCCTCTGTACGTCAACGTCGCGCTTGACGCGGCCACCAGGTGAAGATAAAAGCTAACTTGCGGCGGGAAGACGTGGGAAGGGACTTGCTTAGCATTCTTCTAAGACCGCTAGATGATGACACGCTAAGACATGTTCTTAATCATTCATTGCTTATCGGCGAAGTCCTTCCTTCAATCGAGCGTCTAGCCGACGGGTTCGAGGATACATCTCCCGCATTAATATTTTTCCTCCTCCTTTCATGCGCGGTCCACATCGCTACGCTCGGAAGATATGCATTAGACCAGGGGAGAGCAGTGTTGTTTGCCGCCAGTGATGAAAGTGGCACCTCCGCCAGCATCCCACAGAAAATAATAACGTCAAGCTGGATGCATCTTCACATTGTCTCACAGATCCGCAAGTCCTGTCCACGGTACGACCTGCCTCTTCTGACTGATATCGAGCGATTACTTGCAGTTTGTTACAGTCGCACTGTGCTGGGAGTTGCGTCTGCTGAGACAGTCTCTGCAACGCAGCTGATGCTTTATCGATGGAAAGGGCGGGGAGGAGGGGTGGCACCACTAAGAGTTCCGATGGCACTGGCGGAGTGGGAGTTCCCCCAGCGACCTGAGGATGACATATTGAAGTGTATTCCAAACCACACTGAGCTCTCGCCTGGCATTGTGGCTGAGCTCTGTGATTCACAAAGCAGAATTGTCCAGGAAGGTTATTTCGACTTGAGTATCGTCATACCATGAGACTCTGATACACATTTTGTGGCGTGCGCGATTCACATATCAACCTGCAGCCTAGCTTGTATGAACCAAGCTAATACAGTGGCAAGCAAAACCTCATGTCCTGGCTGACAGCCTCCAGACTTGTCCTATTTTCATCGCATGCTAGAGGAAGTCCCGATTGATGAATTCCACCCTGAACACCCACACTGGGCCCGTTCACGCGCACCCGCCGCCACAACTCCTGCAGTAGTAAAAGAATGTGCTCAATGTGGTGGACGCTAAAGCGCAAATGCATGCCCCGTAGCAGCGCCGTGATTTCCTTTTGTAATCCGATATCGGCACCGCACTCGTTTGCAGCGACGACAACAGGCCACGTCATAACGTTCATGATAGTTATGCGCTGCTCATCGTACATGTTAATGAGGGCATGAAGTCCCACCAGTATTTCACGTATGAACTTGAGGGTGGTGCTCGCGCGGGAGGAGGTTAGCGGGGTCAACACGCTCGTTTGGAACCCTCCGCGCCACAAGAAGATCAGGGACGCTTTGCGCATGATTTCCCAGGTCGTCGTCAAGGCTAGCGAGAGCTGCGTGGAAAAATGAGGCGGTATCGATGGGTGTCTCCAGAGTGTGAGGATCGTCTCTAATTTGGAAAAAAGATCCTCCTTCATAGAGGTCAGACCCTCCTGGTTGTATGGTCGAGCTACGGGAGGAGGGTAGTCGTCAGATATCTCACAGGTCCGTTCATAGAGTCTGATGACAGTCTCACGGACCAACAGATCAACCTCTTCCCCATACCCCCGAGGTAGGCCCCCTGATTCCAGTACCGCAGATAGGGCAGCAATGATAGTAACTAGAGACCTCGGATAACCCGTTATAATCTCTGTAGGTGAAAAGCCATTGTCGCTGCCCTCCGTGGGCGCCATCACATCCGGAGGCGCGATCTTCCACTTTAACCAAGCTAACCTTACGCCCCTGTCCCTCCACCCTACCCTACCCAGCGAAAACGCCCCGATGTCCAGATACGCCGCGATTTCTCTCGCGAGACGGGGCACATCTCCGGCACAATCCACGACTCGCGGGTCAAGAAAATCGATTACAGAGATAATGCCGGAAATATGCAGCGCCCAATCGGCGCTCTTGGCCGAAGGTCCAGAGGAGCTAGGGAATCCAGCGCATATGAGGACTAGAACCGAGCCGAGGAGCTCAACGACTTCATCTTCCTCAACTTGCGCGGTCTGATCGAGAGTTGCTATTTTGTGTTGCAAGTCTGCTAACGCAGACTGGTAGCGGAGTAACGTGGATGATGGGACGCTATTGGCAGGCTGTTGGAGGGAATTATGCGGATCCGTTGGAATGGGCAACCACGCGGTGTACGCGGGTCCCGATGTGTTCGAGCCGGTGATTGACGCCGGCCATGAGCGCATGGTGCCGGCGAGGGCGAGCATGGTGTTGCGGATACTTGGGTACTTCTGGGCAAGAAAGCACAGGCCTGATAACAGGGGATTACCCGACTCGTTAATTGCGGTGAAACGTCGCCTAGTCATACGGATGACTAGGCCTGGTTAGCGAGATACCAATCCACAAAGCCGAAACGACATACGAAGACGAATATCCTGATTCTCAGCCCCTGTTAATCGGAGGCCACACCGGTGGAGCATTGACAAGCCCCAGCGATCCTCTTCAGCGCCCATTGGTCCGGTCGTCTCCGGCTTTTTTGACGAGGTGAGATGGCGTTCCTCTCTGGTAGGACAGGAGATGAGGATAACTATCCCTGATCTCCACCAAGTCCGAGTCGATAGCGGGTGAGCACTCTGTGGTGGGGTGCGAGATACTAGAAAGGCTAGGATTATTAAAACCCCCCGACGGGCATTTAATCCCGAAATCCGCAAAGCCCGCGTGACCCACTCTGCGCAACGTGCGGCCTATTGGAAGGGAGTGTTTAAACGGGTTGCGTCTCACATTAGATCCGTATGCGATTACATTTATATTTCAGCCCTCTGAACCGGAAGCAGGAGGTTGCCTCGGCATCCCTGATCACGTTTGCGTTTGTGGACGGAGAAACCATTACAATAACTTGGAACGGTCATACCTATATATACTCGCAAGGGTCGTCATTTTCCAAACCGCGAAAATGAACCGAGATCGACCAGGAAACCAACAAACGCCCACCTACGGTATAATGGCGTCCCAGGTTGTCATGCGGGACCCAGCTGGAGCGAGGAATGCGCTTCAGAGCAAGCTGGCAGATGCCGTGGCCGACTTCATTTCGAAAAACCCTTCCTCAAAGAAAGCGATTGAGAGAGCCAGCGAAAGCCTCCCCGGTGGCACAACCCGCGCAGTGCTGGAATCAGACCCTTTCCCTCTCGTTGTCCGCTCAGGCAGCGGATCAACGCTGACCTCTGTTGACGGGAGAGCGTATGTGGACTTCGTCTCCGACTTTACCGCCGGCTTATTTGGCCACTCGCACCCAGCCTTGCAACAAGCCATCGCCCTAGCCGCGCAGAATGGGTTCAGCCTCGGCGCAATAACAGAACTCGAGGCCCAGGTGAGCGAGACAATTAAGAACCGCTTCCAAAGCATTGATTTGGTCCGGTTCTGCAATTCAGGCACCGAGGCGAACACCTATGCTATTGGAACATCACTGGCATACACAGGCAAAAAGAAAGTCCTAGTCTTTGATCATGCCTACCACGGAGGCTGTTTGAGCTTTGGAGATGAAATGAACCAGCTGAATGTGCCATACGACTTCGTCGTTGGTACCTACGGGGACATTGAGAAAACTCGGGCGAAACTGAGCTTCGATATCGGGGCGATTATCATTGAACCAATGCAGTCTGCCGGTGGGATGCGACCCGCTGGCAAAGAATTCCTTCTCTTTCTGCGAGAAGCAGCTAATACACTCGGTGCTGTCCTCATATTCGACGAGGTGGTTACCTCCCGGTTGGACTTCCATGGCCTCCAAGGGGTCGTTGGGGTAACGCCAGACATGACAACGCTGGGCAAGTACCTGGGCGGTGGATTGTCTTTCGGTGCCTTTGGTGGGAAGAAGGATATCATGTCACAGTTCGATGGCAAGTCGGACTCGCGACAGAAACTCTCACACTCGGGCACCTTCAACAACAACATTTTCACCATGACCGCGGCTGCGGCTGCCTCGACAATCGTCACAAAAGGGCGAATCGACCAGCTCAATACTCTCGGTGATAAGGTGAGAGAAGGTATTACCACCATTGTGAGTGACATTGGGAAGCCAGGTCAGGTTGTTGCCCTTGGATTTGGGAGCTGCGTGGGTATATATTTTCCTGGCGAGACTGGTGATTTACTGCGGGAGTTGTGCTTCTTCTATTTGCTCTCGCAGGGGCTGTGGATTGGACGACGCGGGTTTTTGGCACTGAACTTTGCCCATGATGAGGCGGATATTGATCGGTTCCTGGAGACGTTTAAGGAATTTTTGGTCCTGCATATGTAGTTTCTACCTTCTTTTGGCAGGTCTATAGCGTGGTTCTATTTGTTGTCCAGTTTGCGCGGCTACATACTTCCATAAGATATGGCGAAAAAGAAAAAAGTCTCACGAGAAGCCAGGTCTTATGTATGACAGGCTAATTGGGCCTCTTGTGAATATAATACTGTCTTCCTTAACAACATTCTCATATTGCTACAAGCTAATAGCATCGTATGTGCTCCTTCCCCTCCGCCCCTCCCTTT